AATTATAAATTACAGTAATGTAGTAAAAAGATTTTTACTAAAATAATTTTTTAATTACTAAAAACATTATACAAAGATTCATTAAAAATGAAATAATAATAATTATTATTATAATAAAATAACAATAACATTATAATGACATTTAGTGTAATTAATTGAAACATTCAAATAATCAGTTAATATCAAATATAGATCTAATAATTTTCAATTGTTAACTTCAAATTAATATATTTACAATATATTCTTATTTAGGGAAAATAATTAATAAAAAATATAATAATTAAGTTCAAAAACTTCTCATTAATTTTAACAGTCAATTTAAAAATTAATTATTATTCAATCAAACATTGGAGAAATTAAAAAAAAAAAATCAAATTTAAATTACCAACATTTTATAAAATAGATTTCCCCGAAAAAATTATTTTAAGTTTTTGATTTTTTTTTTAAATTACTAATTGAAACAAGCGAACTCCTATATTGAATAATAATAATTAAAGATATGATGAATTTTTTATCGAAAACCCCCATTTTCGAATTCATATTGTTGAAGAGAAAAAATATTCTTTTGCAATTTTTTTTTTTTTTTTTTTTTTTTTTTTTAATTTTAATACGCAATATCGAGATCACATCCATTTGCGATGATGTAGAGCATAAAATTTTAAATAGCCCCTGCAAAAGTAGATTATACTCTGTAATTGAATATTCTGCGAGCGGAAAAGCTTTGCCAATTTTGGGATTCGTCGAATTGACAGTCTCGCCACGAATCGTCGTGCTGGACGTACAGATGTATTCGTTATATCGACTATACAATCATTGAACAAAACAAGAAAATAAAAAAGAAAAAAACAAAAAAAAAATTGACACCTGCTAAACGCACGAACGAACAAATACAATTCAATGAACATATGTTACTTTTAATTTTATCTGATCTTTCATCTGATATTGACTCCTTCCCCTTTTTTTTTATTACTAACTCAAAGCCAATCAATGAAGAGTTTCAAAAAAAAAAAAAAAAATATTCTACTATTTCTAACTAATGAAGTTTAAAAAAAAATTAACTTCTTTTCGCGAATCAAGTATATTTAATTTTTTTCTCAATGTGACACTTTTACTTAAAATAATAATTCTTAAAAAAAATATGTGATTTTTTTTCTCTAGTATAAAAATGTTCTTTACAGAAAAAAAATATATCTCTTATTATGACTATTTTTTGTGTTTATAGCGAATTGTGGATTATTCAAGAAACGTGAGTAAACTGTATGTTCAAATTTGTATTCCATCCAGAATTCGTGTTCAATGTTTTATTTTTTTTCTTCTTTTTTTTTTTTTTTTTTTTTTTGCAAAATGTAACCAGTGTCTTAGGTAATCCTGACGGTTGAATAAAGTTATAGCTATATAGCAAAGCAACGGAACGAGAAGATCAAAAACAAAAGTGTATAGTATACTTAAAAAGTTATAGTCCTCTAAAAAGATTTATAGGAGCACCATATATATACACAAGGTGCACATATGATATACAGAAACTATAAACACTTTATGGTGCACACGTTGACCATGTGATACAAAATGACGTCACACATTACCAATTATTTATATCCCCGTCTATATTCAGAAATGGAGAAATTTTTTATTCCTAATAAAATATATTTCAAAATATAAAGAAACAATCATTAAAAAAAAAAAAAATTCAAAAAAGAAGACGAAAATAAAAAATATCCCATTAATTATCAAATAGTTGGAAAAAGAAATTGGTCTTTGGAAATTATAATTATTTTAATTAAATAATTAACAATTTTATTTCTTTGAAGAAGTTAAAATACAATTTTCAAATTGATAAATTTAATAACGCATTTTATTTATTCAAACATAAATGAGATTAAAAAGGAAAAAAAAAGAGAGAACCTAATCTTTCGAGAAAGGGTGAGTATAAAAATATTTGATCTAAAGGCGGGAATGTAATTTATTATGCCATTCTTGTCCCCTGGGTCCTCAAGGAACAGTGTATTATATTGGTCCAATGTGGTTTGGTCCGACACGCAGGTCTTACGCGAAATGTACCTAGCTGAGCACAGTTACGAGCAAATTAATTACGTGTAAGAACCTGCGAACACGAAACTTGCATTTACAACACTAAAGTAATTTAACATAGAATGAAGTACGATGCCTTTTAAACATTAATTAAATCCCTCTTGAATGTGTGTGATCGAAGAACAAGTACCTTTCATACAACAAAATCTTCTTACAAGAACAAACTTTTAATATCATCAAAACCAATTATTACTATCACTATTATAACAATATTTCTCACTTTGTTCTAATTTCAAAGTCTCAAAATTCATTTCTATAATCTTAAAGCGAGAAAATGCAAACTTCATAAAGTAAACTTTAATTGTAATATAATTCTACATTCAAAGAAGTTATAAATTTAATTACAACTATCATTTTAAATTCATTAATGTATAGAGAAATTCAAATTTTATAAAAGTTTAAGAAATGCAAATCAAATTAATTATTAAAATAAAAAATTATTCCTTTTTTTTGCAGCTGATTTCGCTAAACAAATGAAAAACACGAAATACAATTTCTTCCAATTTAAAATGATTATCTTTCAATATTATACCCCCGCCCCCCACCTCCTAAGTGAAAACAATCAAAATTCAAATTTCAATATTTTGTGGTGCAGATTTCATACTTCCAATTTAAAAGCACTCAACATTTGTCACTAGCGAAAAGCTTTTATCATCTGAAAACTGAGTATTTGCCGCATTTTAATCTCCATGAATAACAAATTTTTTCTCTACGGAATAAAAAATTTTAAAAAGTGAATTTTCTACATTCGTTATTCGTCTCCTGTGTAGATTCACCATTTCCCGTATATATTTCGATTCATCAAGTTTATGCAGCTCATAATTTTTTTTTTCATTTTTTTAAAAAAATCTCATGTATATGAGAAGAAAAAAGGAAAATTTTATTTTTTCATGAAAAATAATTCCAATTTCCGAAAAAAAAAATTAGTTTAAATTAATTTAAATTAATTAAAATTCTATTTTAATTTAATAAATGGAAAATAATAAATGAGAACCAGTCAACATTTAAAAAAGGAAAATTTCTTATATTCAAAGAAATTTAGAAAATCGAAGAAAAGATTTTCTTTAATTTCAAAAAATTTAAAGAATACAAAATTGTTGATTAAAAAAATTTTTAAACTTTCCACCAATTTAAATGAACTCAATAAACTTTTTTTTATACAGTCGAAATATTTTTATATTAAACAAAAATAAAAATAGTTTCGTTTAAAACAAATAAAATAAAGAAAAGCAATTTCGATCCAAGTAGAGAAATTTTCCGAAATTGTAAAATTTTTGATTAAATTTAACATGTTCATTGATAAACTATATTATATATTCCAGGGAGATAATATCGACAAGTTTTAGGATAGATTTCCAGGAATGTCTTTCTCACAGAATTGTGCAAGTGAATCAAGACAAAATGAACGATGCGGCACATTGTCTCTCGATGTCACTTGAATGAAATCACCTCTCTCTATCTCTCTCCCTCTCTGTCTTCATATCTTGGATCTTTGACAAAGTTACTATCTGGTAAATGCCATGCAACTATCAAGAAAGTTTCGACCAAATACGGGTAGTTATTAGATAGCCCTGACCACCTCCTCTTCCATCGCAAGTTTCAAGTCCTCGTGTTTGTTTGCTTCCATAGAAGAAGAGACTAAAGCATATATAGTTGATATAGAGGAAAACAGAAACATGTTGTCAGTACGAAGACATGACCTAAGACGTAATATGTGAGATATAAACTTATTACCCCAGACTTTGTATAGTTAAACGACTGTCACTTGCAGAAATGTTAAAACAAACAATTCACCCTCAAGCTACTTATTCTAATCTTTAAATTTTGACAGAAATTTCAAAATGCATTGAATTGGAAAATTATACCTTATAAATTCAAGGTTAACATTTCATTTATAATGGAAATTTTTTTTATACATTATATATAATTAAATATTTAAAAGAAAAAGCACGTGTTTAATATGCAGTGATTGCAATTAAAAAAAGTATATTTGACTATAAATATATTAATTATAATATAAGATTATATAAAAAATATAACATAATTAATCGTATACTTTTAATATATTATTATATTATAATTAGTATTCACTTTATTAAAAATATATATTAAATGATTCATAAAATATATTTTTTAAATGTTGAAATTTGTTTATAGTTAATATTTATTTGTTTACTCGAAATTTCATAATGTTTACGATACATTATTTATTTTCTATATTAATTATTATTAAATTATTTTTTAAAAAAAATAATATATCTGAAACCAAATGGTGACATCTACCAGTGGAATTTTTAGTTGCAAAAAGCTTTTACCCTCTAAGATTTTACCCATCGTCGACAAACTTTGGTTGTAAAAAAAAATTTATTCACCAAACTGATGAAAAATATCAACGACTAATAATTTACCTACTATCAAAAAATCATATTGTTTATGGTAACAGAAATTATTTGCACTTGCGTTGCGAATTGATTAATACAAATATTTAAAAATATTAATTTCTTTTTTATTTTTCTCTAAAATAAATATATATATATATATATATTAAATAATAATTATCGAAATTGTTAATAAAACTGTAAAAATAATATTTAATTATTTAAATTACGAAAAAGCTTAATTCAAAAACATAATATGTGTAAAAAGAATATAAAATCTTTTTTTATTCAATTAATTCAATAAAAAAATTAAACAAATAAATAGTTAACTATAGACAAACTTTTTAATTTAAAAAAAAATATTTATTTATTAGATAAGATTTAAATTTTGTTAAGAAATTCCCAATTTCAAATATTTCATTTAACTTAATAAATAAATGAACAATATTAAAGTCAACTATGTAAAAATTATTGACTCAAAAATATAGATATTAAATAATAAAATAGGTTTTCAGAATTTCAAAAAAAATTTACCTTGAATGAAATCCAGCGATGATTGCTACTGGATTCCTTCCACAATTGCACTGATTCTAATATGCACAAAAAAACGGTTTTAAAGCGCGCACTGACTCAAAACTTTACAAACTTCTCTATTTATACTATTTAAATTTATTAAAACTATGACTAAGTACTTTATCAACAAGGTGTACTTTTAATATTAAAATTTGTTTATTTTTCATTCGTTCTCATTGAATAATTGATTGACATAATTTATCTGTCTTTGGCATGGCTGAAAAAAAAGAAAATTATTTTAAATATAACAGAGAAAAAACATTAAAAGCTATGAATTTATAATTAATTATTTTGCAAACAATAAACCTAATTTTTTATTATTCAATTAATATTATTTTTTCATTTTCTTTTTTTAAATTAACTTGAGTATATAAAAATACAAATATTGAATAATAATTAATTATTTTTTTGAATAATTAATTCAATCTGAATTAAAAAGTTGGAAAATAAAAAGAATTTATTTATTATTATATCTTACCTTAACTCTTAATTCTCAAATATTGACAATCTCTTTAAATTTCGTCTTTTGTTAACGAAATATTTACAGCAAAAAGTGGTCACCAAAGAGAGGAACTGAAAGAAATTATTATTTAATATAAAATGTATAATAGTTTTAAAACAAAATATTTGTAAAATCATGACAATAGAAATAAATTATATTTTAATTCCGTTAACAAAATGATTATCAATATATATTATTATAATAATTATCAAAAATTTTACCATAATAACGTGTTCCTTCCCAAATTAAGATCCTTTCTCAGCATTTCATTCAATTAACCTTCGGAGATCCCTTCTCTGGGTTGTAAATTGAATTTTCAATTCAAAGGACAACCTTTCAAAAAGACCGAGTGTTAAAAAAATGGCATATACTTTCAGGATTGGCTATTTCCTATCTCAATTTTTCAAAGATGAGATCGTTTCTTAGCAATTCATTCAATAAACCTTCGGAGATCCCTTCTCTGGATTGTAAATCGAATTTTTAATTCGAAAGACAACCTTTCAAAAAGACCGAGTATTAAAAGAATGGTATATGCTATAAGGGATCGGTTATGATTACCAAGGGATCTGAAAAAGAAAATTTTATTAACAACTGCAAAAATTGTAAAGAAAAATATCTAACAAAATTACGATATCAATTAAAATAATTAGTTTATTATAAATTTTTAATTTGTGATATTAATGTTTAATTAATGACTTTAATTAATTACCCAAAAATATAAAAATACATGTAAATAAAGTAGATTTTCGGGTAGAACATTGCTTTTGTAATTCAAGTTTCAAAATAAAAAGAATTCATTATTAAATCTTACCATAACTCTTAATTCCCAATTATCGACAATTTCTTTAAATTTCATCTATTGTTAATGAAATATTTAAAAAGTGACCACCAAAGAGAGGAACTGAAACAAAATATTAATAAAAACATAATAAAAAAAAAAATATTTTTTATTTTCATTTCGATAAGAAAATAATGAACAAATATAATCTAATAATTGAGGTTAGGTTTATTTGTTGCATATACGATTAGCAATTTATATTATTTTATTAATTATCGCTAATTATATTCATAATTCATTTCGCTAAATGATTATCAAATATGCCGTAATAAATCAGGTTATGTTTATTGTATGTACTAAGTGTGTACGAACAAATGTTTAGCAATAATATAACTAATTATTTTATTAACTATCACTAATTATATTCATCATTAATTTCGCTAAGAAAATGATTAACAAATATGCAATAATAATTAAGGTTATATTCGTTAAATACGATCAAATGTTTAGCAATATATATATACTACTTTAGTAATTATCGCTAATTATTTACATAATTAATTTGGCTAAGAAAATGATTAGAAAATATGCAATAATATTTAAGGTTATATTGATTAAATGTACGATCAAATTTTTAGCAATATATATTATTTTTATAATTATCAAAAAATTTACCATAATGACGTGTTCCTTCCAATATTGAGGTTCATTCACAGCATTTCATTCAATTAAACCTCGGAGATCCCTTCTCTGAGTTGTAAATCAAATTTTCAATTCGAAAGACAACTTTTCAAAAAGACCGAGTATTAAAAGAATGGCATATGCTTTCAGAATCTGTTCCGATCGCCCATGAATCTGTAAAAACAAACAAATCAACACTAATTACATGAACTGAAACTATTTGTCGAAAGATTTTAACAAAAAGTTTCAACACACTGCTAATGAAAAGTGCAATGAGCAGCCAACAAAATGTTGCAAAAATTCTCCCGACGCCATCTTGGAAAAATTGACAAATGCAATTTTGTACTTTTTTGATTGGGAAAATTTTATGCATATTATTGGCCATCACTGTATTTATATCAAAAGCTGAGAAATATTAAGCGAGAACTCAATAATATCAAAAATAATTCTCGCAAAATAATGTTGAAATGCCTTATATGGTCATTTGCCCACGGCAAATGACATATTTCATATTTAAGCAATATCCAACACATTATTTTACATTACTTTTATAAAATATAACTTTATTCATCTTTAATTACTGTTGAGACACAAAAGTTTTATAAAAAATAGGAAATAATTACCTTTTTCGATCGAAAAATCAGGAGGAGAAAAAGAGACGCCATCAATTCAACGGCTATTGAACATGTAGAAACATCGACGATTTCCAAGATCGTGATTGGTTGACGAAATCAATGGCTAGGAGTCAAACGTAGGACTCTGATTGGTGGACAAATTTACTCCACTCAGCTCATTCACTTCCTGTATTTAAATTTGAAACAACAGAAAAGAATTCATTTGTATTTCTAAATATATATACTTATATATTATATTTAACCACAAGAATGAGAATCGTAAAAGTATTTAAATAACAAAATTACATTCTATATAATAATAATGTTTGCTTATGCTTAAATAAATAATTTTTTCTGTAAAATACATGAAATAGCATGAAGCAGGGTTGGGAAGTTAGGAAAAATTTCTGGCGCTTACGATAATTACCGAAAACTTACCAAGTATATTATAGCTGCCCAACTCTGAGTATAACCTTTTCACATAAAGTTAAATGTGTGTGTAAGTGGTCTGTCATTATGTGTGTTTACAACCTACAACTTTTGAATCGAATTCTCTCTCACATTCACAGGATACAAATTTTATGTACTAATAAATTCAGCGTTTGTATGAATTTGTACGTGTGACGTAGTATTTATAGCCGTCAAGCAAAACATGATGGCAAATGACGAGTGACAACTGACTTTTGGTGACGTATTTGAAGAAATTTTTAGAGAAATTTTGACGGACCGGTCAGAAAAACATAGAAAAAAGGAGAATAATAACATAGAAGAATGTCAAAGTGCTCAGGACAGGTATGTTATCCATATTGTTCAACAAAAAAATTTACTCCAAAAAACATGTGACGTTTCCAACCTCAAATTCACCTTTTTCTATTATCTGAGATAAAAGACATACAATTAATTATTTTTTTTAATGTCAAATGATGTCTACTTTTTTTATAACCTTCAATTTCCTTTACAATAGTCTTTCTGCATTTCGCCAAATACTTGTCAAGCGTTTTGCAAATTTTATAAGGTTATGTTTGCTGTCACATGCCAATGCAAAATACGCAATTCCTTTCGGAAAATTTTAAAGAGCCCGTAGGAATTTTGCATATTTTTGTATACATTTATGTCATAAAAGTACAGTAACTAGGTTTATTTGCAATTTTTAAGTTTCAATTTATAATTATAACCAACAACGCCATGTGCAAGCACGTCGCCAAAAAAAAAAAATAATCTGCGGGGTGGGGCTTAACGTGGGCTTAATCCAGACGTTGAGGGTAGGGTCAACAAATTTAAAATCACGTACCTCACAGACGTCTGATTTATTTTTAGATTTCACATGGTTTACAATTTAATGCTTCACCGACCTTGCTTGAAAAATGATTATTCTTTTTAATCACAATTATGCAATGGCTCTCAATATGAAGTTCTCTTTTTTTGTGTAAAAAAACAGACTTAAATTAATATTTAAGTCGCATGTTTATAGAAAAAAAAAGGATTAGCAAATTTATATATAAAATCGTTTATTTCAGCAATGTGCAAAGTCTATTGTAATATTCTGAACAAACAACTTTGACCTAAACTTGACGCATAGATATTGTTTGTAAACAATGAAATAGAAAACCCATTCTAGTAAACATATTTTTTCATTGCAAAAAAAGTATTTAATTTCCGTTTTCGATCAGACAATGTCCTTTAACTTTGTCCACTTTTATTCTTTCGTACTTTCCAATATTCTTTTATCATTTTTTGGAATTTACGTTTTTTCACGATACTCCTCCATTGATTTCAATGATCAGTAAACGAATTTAGCGGAACATATTTATTTTTAATAGTTTTCATTTTAACTCTATTTGGGGGAAGAAATTCTCAATTTCTTATATCTTAAATATAATTGTAATATAATTTTTTATTTTCACAGTTTAAACCACATTTTTGGAATCACTCTCTTCTATTATATCAATGCAAAGAATTACGCTGTGTATTTTCAAAGACTAAGTGTATTTGCAAAAGTGTAAAAATGGATGAGCTGTGATTTATAAGAAAAAAAAAGGTATACGTTGAAATTAACGCCTGTGCCATTTTATTCCATTCAAGAGATTGCAAAGTATTCAGGTTGAATTATCTAATTGAGTATTAGATACTTCAGATAGTATTTACTTTTTTTTTAACGATGGAGGGAAATCACGTTTACAAACCCGAAACAGTCATGACAGATGTCAGTATGCAGGATTTACAAAAATTGTTGATTTATTTTTCGAAAAATACCTATCGAGCCCGTGATGCCGACAATACGGTAATTATTCAATTCTTTGTATTTATTAAATAATACTTAAAATTTCCAAATATTTCTTTCTTTTTATTTCAAACTATTTTTAATTCCAAGAAAAACAATTTTTGGATGTTAAAAATCTTTTTTTTTTTTGTTGAATAAATCATATTTTATTATTATTTAATTAAATCAAAAAATTTATAATAATTTCAGAGCCAATCCATAATGCAAAGATGTGTATTGCTTGCTGACATGGATTATCAACATTCAGTAATAAATAATAATGAAGGTGATTTGAGTGCTCATTATCCGAGTCATTTAATGATCCTAGAATATGAGAAAAGTAAATTTCCGAACAAATGTGATATTCCATCGTCACTGCCACGCACTACGGATACAATTTATGAAAGTATGTGCGATCCAATTAGGTTAAAGGAATTGATAAAAAGCGCAAGATTTGCACGATGTCGATCAAGGTTTCCATTGCCCGTTATACTTTATAATGGAAAATACATTTGTCGATCGTCTACCTTATCGGGAGGACCGGAAATTTATGGAAGATCAGGACTCGATTATTTGTTTGCTTGTAGTGAAACGGGAACAGTTGTAGATGAAAGTTATAAAGACAACACTGACGATGGATGTAGTCGTGAATCATTTGACAATGATTGTCCCGCGGTTAAAAATCAATTTGATAAAGTAAGGAAAAAAGATATAAAACTCCTGAAAACACTTAAAGTTGGTCATATAATTGATTTTATGGTCGAAAACAAGAAGGTCAAGTTTCTTATGAAGTGAGTTTTAATTGGTTATAACGTTTAATTAAAATGTACAAAAAAGGAAAAAACGTTTTTTGTTCTATAAATGATTTTTATTTAATTTATAATTAATAGATTTTTATTTTATTTATATTCTATAAATAAATAAAATGACACTTTTGTTTTCCAGTGTAACTTCCTCGGAGAAGGTCGACAGTGTTGGGAGATATTCAGATTTTAATATTGTTTCACTGCCATATCCGGGATGTGAATTCTTCAAAGAATTTCGAGAACATAATTATGCAGCGAATCATCTTGTTTTTGATTGGACACAGGCTCATGTCGATGCCCATATTGGAGTTCCTGAAGACCAAATATCATCGCAAATAGAAGTTAATTGGGAAGAATATCGAGATTGGGATCTACTTAAGCTTACGCAAAATTATTTGAAACTTATTCTGCGATATGTCAATGAAAGTGATTCTGGAATTTTGATTCACTGCATTTCAGGTAATTTTTCTTTTCAAATTTTGCATTATGAAGAAAAATTTTCAGAATTTAAAAAATTACAATTATTTTTTTTTAAAGGTTGGGATCGCACCCCATTGTTTGTCTCACTATTGAGATTGAGTCTTTGGGCAGATGGAGTAATTCACACATCGTTAAGTGCATTCCAAATTCTCTATTTTACAATTGCCTATGACTGGATGCTCTTTGGTCATGATTTAAAGGATCGTATGAGCAAGGGAGAGGAAATATTTTTCTTTTGTTTCTTTTTTTTGAAACACATTCACGACGAGGAATTTAGTGTACATTCGAGGGAGCATCGTAGTCGAAATTCTGTATTAAATCATCACGAAAGTGATTCACAACTTCGTGATGAAGACTTTAGTACATTTACGCCAAATATTAAGAATCGTCATTCTGTTTTGCGTAACGACAGTGATTCACAATTGGACAATGTAATGTTTGATGGCGAATCAGTTGTTGCTCTCAGTACTGTTAGCTCAAATCTCAGCCTAAATAGTTGGTGTAGTTCCGTAAGTCAACATAGTCGCGATAGTCAGGATAATAATCCGCCTTCAGTTTTTCACTGTAATTCACAGGAGAGTCAGGATGACATTCATAGTAATGGGTAAATTGAAAATTTATAGAATCTAATTTTTATTTATTTAATTCATCAATTTAATGAATTTCTTGTATTTTAGAAATTTTGTACCATGGACATTTTACTCGTCGCCAAGTAAAGAGAGCAGTGGAAATGGATCTCGATCGCCATTGCCAACAAATCGAACATCACCAGTGGCAGTTCCAGTTCCTGGACATCTTCGGCAGAGGAATGAATCCTCTTCATCAGGGGGATCTTGGCAAATGATTTCCGGAACTGGTAGTTTGCGTGGCTCCACAACATCAAATGCTTTGCTCTCGGATGGTCTCGCGTCGAGTTTAGCTTGCAAACCACTTTGTGAAACTTGCACCGGACACGCATCACAAGAATCTAGTACTACAATTGTTGACGATGAAACTTACACATATTTAAAGTAAGTAAATGTTTTGTTTTATTTGAAAAAAGCTTTAGCAGCTTCTAGATCAATTTTGCTTTTCATTAAAATTTTTTTCTTTTTTAATTTAAAAATTTATTTTAAAAAAGTAGAATTTTTAAAATAATTTTGACAAAATTTTTCTGTCTTGCAGGACAAGGAGGGAGAGGTTACAATGTTTACGAAATATATTTTATGGCGCTTACAATACAGTTGGTTTTAAAATGAAGGAATTTCCAGAAAGTAGTGGAATAGGACAAATTCTTGGGAATTTCGCTGAAAAAGTTGGTTTTATTTCTGTTCAACGCACATCATTGTGACCATCAAAAAATGTCGCATTATCGGCTTCCCCACAGATTCTTGAATTTGTTAATTGTTAATTCTTTCATTCAACATTGAAAATTTTATAAGCCAATACGTGAATTATTAAATAATTGTATATTATGGTTTATTTGGATGAGATATATGCCATTGCAATTAAGTTGCAATGTCAATGTACAAGACATAATAAACTTGATATTTTTATAATATAAATAGTTTATTTTTTTCAAAATTCATTTTTACGTGTTTTACAAAGTCTTATGACTAAAAAGAAAATTTCTTACTGAAAAAAATATCTTTACATTATGTTAACAAAACGTAGAAAAAAAATTTATCTCTTCTTTAAAACAATATAATTTACAAAACTAAAATTATAAAATAAATGTACAATTTGTAAAATTTCCTTGTTTAGAAAAAAGGAAAAATTTCTTAAAATTTGTAATTATTATAAATTCATCAGAAAAACGATTCTGGAAGGTGAAACATGTTCTCTGCAGAGAGGACATCGAGGTTTCGTGCGTAACCATTCAGCGAGACAGAACCAACAAAATAAATGTCCACAAGGTGTTGTGGTATTTGAAATTTTCTCTAAACACAATTGACAACGAACACTTGTGCTGAGTGCGACATTTTTCATTTCCGTATCATCCTCCAGTCGATTGTCCTTTTGAAATAATCGCAACATAAATTGAACAATTGTTGCAATTCCTAATAATTTTAAACCCCAACTTATTCCATTGGTAGGTCGACGACCATAAACCTGCAAGAAACATTTTTTTTTTCAATATTAATTATTCTTTAATTAATTTTTTTTATGAATTCTTCAATTATTACCTTGGCATAATCAACTCCTATTAATCTTTTTCCAATACTATAATATCTACCAAACAAATAAAATAATCCACGATGAGCGAGAATTAATAATGGCACAATGGCCCTCAGTTTTGTAAGAAAAATATTTAAAAATTTCACAGCTGCAGGAGTCAATTCATTGTGGGGATTATTTATAGATTTTTGTAATCTTTCAAGAAGTTTTAGAAATGCCTGCTCTCCGAAACATTCTAAAATTGCTGCCAATACTCGTGCCTAAAAAAAAACAAGAAAAATTTTAATTTAATTTAAAAACCATAAAATAAAGAAGTAATTAATGATTAAAACTTACACTCAAAGGTGGAACTTTACAAGCATCCAAATCAACTTGAACAATTCCAGTATATTCTTCACCTAGTGTCTGATTCCCCATTCCCGATGTAAGAACAAAATAAATAAATCTTGCTGGAACATCTGATTGCATAAATTGTAATAAAGATCTGTATTTTTTGAATTTAGCCAAAACATTTGACAATTTTTCACTCAATGTCCACACAAAATCATTGTCTCTTTGAGAAGAACGCAAAATTTCTGCCTGATTTGCACTATTTAGTTTCTTAAGAACCAAATTCTTTTTTTGACTCATTTTTTTCAAAATGATTATAAAATTTTGAACAGTCACACTGAATTAATTCATTTAATTAAGAAATTAAAAAAAAATTCAAAATCTGGCGCCTTTTTTTTACTTTTCAGATTCCAAAAGTAAACATAACCTATAAATTTTCCTAAATCGGACTTTTGTCAATCAACACGTCTCACAATGCGTATAAATCACATTTTTATTTATCACAATTTTCACATTAAATGCAGATTCATGAATACTAAACGACAACATTTATTATTGAAGGAATGATATAAAACTACAAGAAATATAGAGAAATTATAAACATTTGGTTCTATAATTAACGACACAGTAGCCAACATTATAAAATTCTTACCGACAAAACAAATCATTCAAAAATATTTAAAAATTCTTATTAAAAGTAATAGTTAATTACCAGAACTTGGAATTCATTTATAAAACAAAAATATTCATGTAAGTAGCAATTAGACTTGTAAAATTTTCCAATAATATAGAAACAAAGTCAGACATTTTGAATACTTCGCTTAAAATCAGTTCTACCACTGTGATAATAAGAATTTTTTCTCATTTTTTTATCTTTCTAAAAATAAACATTTTCTAATAAAGAAAGCTTATAAAACATTATTAAACTATAAAATAAATTAAATATCTAGTAAATTCTTTTTTAAAAAAGACATTTAAGTATGTGTACAGTTATATTTCATTAATAATAATTAAAGAAAATTGTGAAGTATAAATTTTCTATTCAAATTTAGTGCGCGTTCTGGACAATGTCGGTAAAACAGATTGTAGCCAATCGCAGCGCCGCGACAAGAAGCGAGTAGCCAAACTTTAGCAGCCAAAGCAAAAGCGGCGAGGCAGAGAGGCATCGCCCTAGATAACGGTAGAATTGTGTAGTGTCTCCTCGTTGTCTTTTTCGCACGGGAATTATAGTGCAATTAATTCGCAAGAAAGAAAAAGTGTCAAAAACTAATCGTCGATTTTCGCGTCAATATTAAATCACGATTCCGATAACAGTCGTCGATGGAATTTTCGCAATACAACGGATTCGTGTTGAATTGAGAGTGACACACTAGCCGCTTCACGGTATTATATACGTGCATTCGACTTATAAAAGTGTACATTTATTTTCTCTCCATGAACTCATGACGGTGCAGTGACCAAGTGAACAGCGTGGCAGGAAGCGATTAATCGCCGGGGAATCTGTAAAACAGGATAGACAAAAAAAAAAGGCGAGATTTTATTTTACAACAAGGACTTGGAGACGTTGCAGCGAAAAACGAGAGTTCTGCTTGCGGGATAGATAGAAGGTATGTGAGTATATTAAACAATATCTATAGTGTTTATTTTGTGTATGCATTTTCTAAATAAATGAAATAAAAAGAAAAAAGAAAAGCCACCCCCGCGTGGTGCTCTTGATAAATGATTGGAATGCCGATGGCCCCCCCGCACCGGAAATTGGTGCTCCCGCGCGTTTCTTACATTTAAAGCCACTAAAAAAATCCTTTTCTCCCCCAGGGCCCGGCGGACGCCTCCATAAAGTTTTGTTAATGTTTCCTAATTTGGTTAATTACGAAACCGGCGCCGATCTTGTTGCTATTTAAATTGTAAAATTTCATAAAGACATTTTCGTTAAGTCCCTGTGTTTTCTAACAAAGCTCTCCCCCTATTAAAGAGATTGGATATATATATATATATTTTTTTTTTTTGAGGTTTCTTCTCGTTTCCCTTCCTTCGTCAATGACTCATATATGAGAATCATCAGGGCAGGAAATAACTTGGAAAGAAAGGAAAACCGATAGATAGCCTTTGGGTCTCTCGACATATCTGGGTTCTCTCTTATCTCCTCACTCGTCAATTTTCTATCTCCTTTAGTTAATGTTTCACAATTCTCTTCTCTAGGTCTTCCAATTTGAATCATATTAATTATGCGCAAGGTCAATGAGACACAAGAGTGTTTCTTGATGGCTTGAAATGCATAGAAGGAATCGAGAGTTCATTCAGCTTTCGCCTTCACTGCACGTGCTACCTCATAGATGGAGCTCGCTCGATCAAACTCCTTCATCAGTGTCAAGAACTGTCGCCAAATTTTTCATCCACCTCGACTTGCAAGACGAGTGTGATAAAGTGGACTAGAATGCACGTGTTTTAGATGTGAAAATGTCTCGGGAGAACGTATGTCCTAGATAGAGTTGGACTTTATTGGTCTTTTTTTTCTGCTTTCCAGACACAAAAAACAAGTCCCAGGCACTCGAGAGACCGGAGACACCTTGTATTAATAAAGATTTTATGTTTGCTTCGGGAGTTCATAATGATAAATTTCAACAGCTTCCGGGGGATCGTAAATGTCTCAAGGACTCGAGTAATGTCATTCAAAAGTGTTGATTAGAAATGTTGACAGGTGTTTGAAACTATTCAGTTGGAATATTTTGATAATTAGATTTTGAGGTTCAATTAATTGATAAATTAAATTTATTTTCTAATTTATTACAAAATAAATTATTTCCAAATAATTGCAAATATTTTTAATTTCCTGTTTATTTGAAAATATTTAAGGTTATGTAAGAAATTATCAATATTTTGAAATTAAAGATTATTTAAAAAGTATTTCAATATGTAGAAATAATTATACGAATAGGTATAAGAAAATATTTAATTGTTTAAATTTCAAATTCTAATTAGCTAACAAAATTTAAATGTTTATTTTTTAAAATCAAAAAAAAATCTAATTATCAAAACAAAATTTGAAATGAATATATATGTTTTAAAGCGGAAATAATTATTAGAACATGGGAATAAATTTCGGAACTAGAAAATCCTCCTCCAACTGTTTGTGTGTTTTTGGCTGATTCAAAATATTTTTCGCAATTCTCCCAAGAAGAAAATAGAGAAAAGTCACAATCGTAAATTATTCCACCAAGTTTCGCAAAACGTTTATAGATTTCAGATTTTGGCAACATGACAAAACTTACTAAACCAAAGCAATGACATCACGCATACAATAATTTCAAATTAGCCTGTCCTCAATTTTAAAAACGATCCTTTCTCATGTTAAAAAAAAAATAGGTGAATTAGTGTTTTTAAAATTTGCAATCCATTTTGAAATAAATATAAAATGTTTCTTAAAAATATGAATTTTTTTTTTATGAATGAAGTTGTTTGTCTCGACTCAAATATATATTTCATATAAAACCTTGATAACTGATAAGAAAGATAAACAGAACATCTGTTAACATAATATTGACACTGTAGTTAATTATTTTTGGAAATAATACTTTTTTTTAAATTTCATTTTAGAAAATGTTTATAAATATTAAATTATTGCAAATAGTAAAGAACAAGCTAATATTATTTTTTTTTTACTTTCTTTTGTGTGACTTGCGTGTTTCCGGAAGTGACGAAGTTACAAATACAATTTTCGCCCATTTGGAATACTATATCCATGTCGAAGGTTTCAAAGGACTTAGGTCAAAGTGACTTTATCTTTCGTTCACGCGCAGTGTTCTTGTTCACGAGCAGTTTCCTTCGCGATAAAAAATGACCTACTCTCTCGATCCATTCCGCAATTGTGGAAGAAGATTTTCCGCCAATTACAAACAATGTGTTCTGAACGTAACTCATATATATATATATATATATTTCTGAAAAGACTCATTGTCACACAAAAGTTTAGTTTTTTTTTCTATTCCAAAACAATTTATATAGGCTATACAAACAAATAAAAAAGAATTGTCTCGCTTTCCATATATAAAACATTAAAAAAAAAAAAATTATTAAATGGAAAATTTGTTTTTCTTTGAACAAATAAAATTTTTAATTTCTTCAAGTAATTGAATTATTATTACATTATTATTCGAAAAATGTGGAAAATTTACATCAAAAGTAATTTTTGTGAAATTAATTTTTAACAAAATTTTTATATTTAAAATTTTTTTTCAAATTTATGGTATTTAGAAAAATATTATTTTTTTAACTAATTCCCGTAATTCCAGCTACGGAATTTAATTAATTACAGTCAGATTTTTTTTGTTAGTAATAAAAAAAAATATATTTTTAATTTTTATTTTTTATTAGTATCAAAAAAGACAAATTGAGTAGAAATTGGAAATTTTATATATATATATATATATATATATGTAATTAAAGGATTAGAAATGAGGGTAAACCTAATAACACATGAATATGCAATATGAAATAAGTCTTATATGGTATCAGTATTAATATATATTTATATACGGGATGATGGTGATCTATATAGTGCTTCTTACATGAATCATATGAGTGGGAGTTGTGATGTTCTGAAATAGATTTTTGTACCCCCAAGATATATAAGCATTGGAAGTCATGATCGTTCTTTTTTGTCGCGTAACTTTTTTTTTCTTCCTTTTTTTGTACATCTCAATCTAGTAATAATCTTTCTCTTTTCATTCAGCAATTTTAGTTTTTTTTTCTTCTTCTTCTCCTCCTCCTCTCTCTCTCTCTCCTACACTCACCATTTCCGCTTATCTCCGGGAGACCCGTTAATTTTACTCAATTTACCGTAATTGCTCGTTCGCTTGTGACAATTCGATTTGTCACTTTCACTTAATAAATTTCTACAGCGAAAGCAATAAAGTACCGAACGATTAACCCTATGACGTGGTCGCTTATCGACTCTTCATTTTGCATGTGCTTCAAATTCTCAAATGTTCGAGAAAATGCAATATTTATATTATAAATTTTTTTTTTTTTTTTTTACAAATTTTATATTAAATATTTTGTATGCGCTAATATATTTTCTAATTTTTTATTAAAAGAAGTTATTTGACAAAAATATTTTTTGGCTAAACTTTATACGAAAAATGAAGTTTTTTAAAGGATTGCTTTTGTCTCCAAATATATTTAAAATTAATCAGCATTGAATAGAAACTAGGTTAATTTTAACAATCCCAAAAATCTCAGTGTTTTTATGGTATTGAAATTCTTCTTTTTTTTCTGTAATTTAATTGAATATTTTTTATTATACTTTTGATTATATATTCGAAATATTGATTTACTTTTTTCCCAAAATCGGTGTATTTATATACAAAAGTTTTATTCTGATAACCGAAACAAGATTTAAATTGAATTCGATTTTGTAATTTAATTTTTTTTTTCCCATTTCAAGTTTCTGCTTTGTGAGTTAGATAAAATGTTTCCTGTCAGAATATTATATATATATATATATATATATATATATATATATATATATATATATATATATATATATATATATATATATATATATATATATTTCCAGATGGAACTCGATTGTTGTCAATGTCAGATTTATTGGTATAAGGGATTTAAAATATTAATCTTATAATATTGAAATTTGAAGTAATTTCCAGTTTAATCATTTTTCTTTAATTTTAATTTAAAAAAACAATGTATATAAAATACAATAGATTATAAAATGATATTCATAAATTAATTTTCTTTTGAAAATAAATTTTTATTTTATTATTGAGAATGACGATAAAAATTTCTGCATTGGCGAACGCATATTAAATAAGTCAAGTATTAATTTACAGAAATATGAAGCAATTAAAGTTAAACGAGAGACGAGTATATATAACACATAACTAAAAATAAAACCGTCCTTGTAATTTATCTGTACACCCATAAATTGATAATAATTTTTCTCACATATATTTAACAGAGAGCTTTCAGCTTTCAATATTGGTTTACAAGTTTCACCAGTTAGTTTATTAGAAACAAAAAAAAAAAAAAAATAAAAAAATAAAAGGGAAATATTGTGAAACAGTGTCACGAAAAAGGAGGCATTGAACGAAAATATAAAATAATTACCAAAGTAATAGCCACAGCATATCGAACATCGGAGGGAAAAAGTGAAACTATATATATATGTATATTGTTGGAGAAAATTTGCGCGCATAAATAGAGTCTGAAATTGCAATATAAAATAAAAGCGATAAAAGCATATCCGACAGCAGTCAATATAATAAAATTTTACTGAATTTTATTTGGCGAGGGAGAGTACAGGTTGAATAAATTTTAACGTGAATTATCGGGAGTTTTTTTTTCGGTGTACAAAAAAAAAAAATAAGGCATATTATGAAAAATGAAAAGGATAACGAGGAGTCTCTTGAACTTGTCTCGAGGATATGAAAACCTCGAGAAAGGAGTGACTTCTCACGGTGGTAGGGAGTTAAAGAGGAAGGTAAACGTTCGACAATGAGACGTCAGTTCATATCCAAGGGTCCCCAGGACCCCATAATGCTCTATGAGATTCACGAACCATGACTCACTCAAAGTCACGCAACTATAT